ATTCCTAAAGGAATTTTTCGTCACTTGAAAAACCTCTCCTACTCTATTATTAACTGTTCAAAGTGATTCTATTTTTGTTTTTCTGTTATCATGTATTATTGTTTCATTTATTTCATTGCAAGCTATTTTATTAGATTGTTTCCAGAATAAGAAGCTTATCTTTCTTTGTTTAAATCAAGTTTTTTTTTTTTGTTAAATATATTTTTATAAGTATGAAAAGTTTTTACCCAGTCTCCAAAAAAAATATTAGATGGAATGAAAGAAAATATATATTTTTCATTATTACTCATGGTAATAAAATAAGTGATGAATGATTTAATCATGGCTAAACAATTAAGAATGGTCATTGATCACTCATTACCATGAGAGTAATTTATATTTTAATCTTTCTCGTTACTTATGATCATTGAATTTATTTAATTACTCATTAATTATTACTCATTTACTCGAGTAAACGCCCAACATAATATGAAAGTTTATATATATATATATATATATACATATATATATATATATATAAATATTAAAATATAATTATAATGCATTATTATTATATACTAATTTAAAAATATGTCGGAGTTTCCTTCCCTTACTCATTTAGCCTTCATTGATCTGGAGCAGGCGTAAGATAGTGTTCCTTGGGAAAGAATATGACCAGCACTCAGAAGAGCGGGTATTAATGAATCCACGGTACAAGCAATGCAAAACTTGTATGAAAGCGATCTGTACAGAGTGGAGATCGGGAACCGCCTCTTGGAACCGTTATCTGGAACCAAAGCGCTGAAGCAGGGGTTTTGTCTGTCTCCAAACATTTTCAAGATATACTTGGATGAGGTAGTGAAGAAATGGATGAGACGAAGTCGAGACTACAGAGTTTACTTTGACTACGACAAGCTCCATATCCTGTTCTTCGCAGACGATCAAGTAGTGATGGCCCGGAAGAAAGTCTTCCTGGAGATGGTGGTTGTCCAATTAAAGAAAGTTTATGAAGAGGCAGGTCTGAGGATAAACTTCCAAAAGACTGAGTATATGGCACTGGGAGATGAGGAAGACGAACTACGCATAGGTGAACAGGTGTGCAGAAGAGTAAAGGCCTTTAAATACTTCGAGTCCTATCTGGACGATGTTGGAACGTCAGAAGTAGATATCCGAAATAAGGTAGAGATGGAAAGAAAAGCTACTAAAATGCTACATCCTATTCTCTGAAACGACACTCTTTCAAACGCGAACAAGCGGCATATCTTCATAGCTATTGTCGAGTCCATATTAACTTATAAGTGTGAGACATGTACGGATGAGGTATCTACAATTAACGAGGTTGGACAGAGTCCGAAATTAAGTGGTGAGACAGAGAATAGGTGTAGTGGAGACCGTCTTTGAGAGGATCGGGAAACGACTGGTTGAGGTAGTATGGGCACTGCATGAGAATGCCGGAAGGAAGAGCATTGGCCGAACAGAGTCCTGGACTGGCAGCCACCCGGCAAGCGTAGACGAAGACGACACAGAACCACGTGGATGGAACGAGTCCGAGAGGAGATGGCCGGCCAAGGTCTACAGGAGGGGGACTGAGGAGGTATCCCTCGTTGAAACACCGGAAATAAGATGGTAAGTAAAAAATTGTTCTTTAATGTAGGTAATTGAAGTACCCGACTTTAAAAAAAAAAAAATTTTAAAATCGCGCACTGCTTAACATTAAAAAAAAACTATGGATATAGTTTCAAATAGACTCAGGGGTGTCCAGAAGAGACATCAACATTTTTTAAGGGGTTTCGAATGTATGAGGACAGCGTTTCTACTAGGTCATGAATTTTCGGAATGAAAAGTTTCAATCCAGATGACAAAGAGAAAAGCGTGGACCAGACTACATCAAGTTGAATCGTATATGATCTACGATTTCCCTTATGCTTGTATGTTTTTAAGAGGTGAGTAATAAAATTTCTTGTTGGAGGAGGGAGAGTAGATTCATGCACCATCTACTATGCTGCACAGTGGGGGCGAAATAGTGTATTTGGAAAAAATTACAACTGACTATGGATCTTTATAGAAAATTTTATGCCGAGTAAAAAATTTGAATAAAAAATACTTTGAATATATAGTCTAATTGAGGTATTCGTACACTTAAAATCCTAAATTTTTTCTGCAAAAAAATAAATGAACAAGATATAAAAATATTCTATCCGAAAATGTCATTTTCGGAACTATTTTATTTTTCCTTAAAATATTTTTCTATCTGAATGACTTTCTATATTTATTTAACAGCTTCTTAAATAAAATGAATAGATATTTCTAAAAATTTGTATTTCATGGATTTTAAAAAACTGTACTTATGAAGTTTTCTCCACCAATGCCTCACTGGTGTGGTGGGTTGGTTTCAATCTACTTTTTATTTTAAGGATTACTTTTAAATCAGTTCTGTAGCCTATATACGCTGACATAGTCATATTTAATAAAAATAAATAGATAAAATTTAAAAAAAATAAATAAGATGAGAAAATATTATTAATTCTTAGCTGATATAAATACGAAATGAATACTGATTTAAATTAATACTGAGGAATCCAGAAAATTAGTTTATGGAACATACACCCCAAAATTGAATCCTGGATCTGTCAGTGACGGCCAATATTAGTTTTATAAAAGCATTTTTCTTTTGTATTTGTCGCACTTTGGGGTATTATTTCTATATTTAATTATTATTATTATTTTTAATACATAGTTCAAGAAGGCTTTTGAATTATAACATCGCTCTTCCTACATTTTATTAGCAATTTTAAAAATGTTAACTACATAACAATCAGTTCTCAGACTACTAAACCTAAACAATTAATTTTATTTTTTTAAATAAATTTACCAATAACTTCAACAAGCTCATATTCTGCTTACGTCCGTAATTATAATTAATTTGGTAACATCCCCGTTTTATACAACATGAAATACAATGTGCTATTTATCAAATTTCTAAATCGATGTACTCCTTCAAGCTGTAATTTGTTTGGTTCGTTAAGGATTTACGCTTCTTAATAATATACATTTCAGGAACAAAACCAAATGATTACATATATACTTGCATATGTATACATGCAACGATATACATACAACCGAATTCGGCTGGACGGAGTGCAGTCCATATAGGCTGGAAATCAATTGATGAGTTATGATCAAATATACTCTTTAGAGCAATATAAGAGTGATTTGATGTTATACGATCTAAATACGTTTACTAGCGATAAATAATAGTATATTTTTAAAGTTATATTTATTATATTTATTCTCTTATGTAATATCTTGATAATTTTTCAATAAAAAACTCGAGTATTGAAAACCTCTAAAAAACTGTTCATCTTCTGCCTCTCAATATCAACCTTTCACTTTTATATTCTAGTGTGAGATATAAACATGTTTCCATTTCTTATGAAGGAGTGTAAAAGATGTCAAGGCGTTTTTATTTTTACTATGTTATATATTATACTATATTATCTATATAATATTTTATATTAACTACTTTATATATTTATGATAACTATCTAATGTTTATGTTGTTATATAATTGTAAAGATGGTTTAAGTTGTCAGGTCCTGCCTAAACAATACGTATTAACTATGTAATAATATCTTAATTATTTGGACTGAATTAAAAGATGTAATTATAAAAGTGATTAAACTTAAACGGTCTATGTGTGATTTGAAAGCTCTTTCGCCCGTTTTTGCCGACCATCTTCATACCACCGGAATAATTTTCCACAAGAGAATAAAATAATAATTACGCAAATCAATAAACTGTACAAAAAAGTTTAAATTAAGACTTTGTTTTCCTAATTTTTGTTGCTATTTAAATCACTTTTCTTTAACTCACTCCTTGGGAGTGTATTCAAATAAGTAAGCATAGTGGTAACTCAGGTCCCGAGAATAGATAAAAATTTGAGTTAGGAAATAATTTAAAATATATATTCATATTAAATTTCTACATAATGTTTCCTTGTAATGATTAATTTTATCTGATCTTGCAACTTGTATAGCTAATTTATGCAATATTAAATAGATTGAATTTAATCATATAAACATGTTAAATATGATTAAATAAACCTTTTTTATAAAACTTTCTTCGTCTTATTCTAGAGTGTTAGAACAATAGCAGTGTGATTATAAAAGTTCGTTATAATAGCAGAAAAATGAAATTGCTTATTTAATTTAACCCTAAAGGATTTAGGAGAACATTTAAATAATTTCAGGGGGGGTTACAAATGACTGACCCGACTACTTTGTGATAGCAAAAATTAATGGAGTGAGTGCCTGACTTTGATATGATTTCTTTATGAAACTGAAAGTTAGTTTTCTATAAACAGAAAGTTGTTTCTTGAAGTCGGAAAAGAAATTTCAGGTTTTGAAGTAATGTAATCCTCTGAGATGTTAATTTACCCTGTTTAACGTTACTGTTTTAATAGGATATGCAAAGTAATTAATAAATTCCAGTTGATGATATATTTTTACTTCTTAATATATTACTATAGTTTGCTGCAATATTTAAAGTTAATTAGGTGATAAAAAATAAAAATCAATACTTATTTCAGAATTATAAATAATTTTATTATTGACGGTTGATAACTTTTGTTCAATACTATTTAAAAAAGTAGTGTTAAAATGTTTGAAATCTTAGTTACTTTTTGGTTTACATCTTAAAATAGATAATATATTTGGAACAAATAAACTAATTATTGATCAGGGTATTATATATTTATATCTATATTTTGTTTAATTTTGAAGTCGTATTTTGATAAGGTCAATAATTTTAAATAATTGAGTTGAGTTGAGTTAGAAATTGAGTTGTGAGATGTTACAAAATTATAAATATAATAATAATTTAATTATTATAAAAATTTGAGCTATGTATCAATTCTATAAAAAATAAATATATAGGGGGATATTAATAAAAAGCGGAGAAAAGAAGTGTTATAAGCCAATTGACCGTGATACATGTCGTATTTCAATTCCTACTGTAGAATGCGTTGTTAGTCAAGTGAGTGGCAGGCTGGCGGCAGCCATCTTGTTATGATGTTTTGATACCACAAGACTAGTAGGCAGTAAGCTTACTGTCCTTCTTGGCTAGTTCTCCTTTGTCCGTTACGTTTATTTTAAATATATAATATTTTAAACCGGCCGCGGAGTGTATTAGTGTCAATAGTGTTAGTTTTTATTGTGCAAGTTGTATATGTCCATTGTGTCTAAGTGTTATTGTGAACCCGACGTCGGCCAGAGCCGTACATTTTAGAGATTTTGTTTGGAATAATTAATCGTCTGTGGGTAAGTTAATATTATTTTTCTTATAGAATTATACATTTTAGAATTTACTGCGTTATCAAATTTGGCGAGAACTGCTCTAATTTAGTCTTTTAAGTGTTACAAAGATGTGGTTACTAAGCTAAAATGGCGCTTTAAGGCCGTCTATGGTGGTGGCGGTAGCTAGCCCGCGTTGTGTTAACTGATCAATTCACCTAAGGTCGCTTTATTAATTGCTATTGCTAAAATGTTTAAACATTCCAATATAATATCATGCATTAGCTGTTTTTTAAGATATAATTATACAGAACTCAGTAGTTGAATTGCTTTGTGTTTTTGATAATTTTTCTTCTTATACATAAAAGTGGCTTAAAATAGTTATTTTTGTTACAGATGACAACTTTGGCCTCCAAAGAACTATGTGCTAGTAAAGAAAACAATTCTGTTGTAATAAGGTGCAAGTTTTGTGACAGTGCTTAATGTAAATATTGTTACCTTAAATGTTATTATTCTTGGTGATATAAGAGATGCTGCCTCCTTGGACACATGTTCTACAAATTTTTGTTTAATTTTTTCGATACCTTGAGTGATTACTGTTTATAAACAATGAAAGATAACAACTCGCAATGGCTAAAGTGGGTACTAGATGCCATAAAGAAGATAAGGACTCAAAAACAGAGGCCATCTGTGGAAAGGATATGCAGGGCTATTCGCCAGCACCAAGATCAGACCGAGGCAACTATAAAAGATCATTTAGAATCTCTTGTGAGGGATGGACAAGTTCTGAAGGTAGTGAATAAAGGACAGTGTTCATACAAGGATCCTGGTAGTGTTACTCGCCCTGCTGTTTCAACTCCTAGTAATAAAGCAACTCCGAAGAAAACTGAGGGAGATGATTTGTTACAGAAAGATAAATCTGCATCGAAAAGTGTTAAGCCAAAAAAGAAGTCCGTGCCATCTGCTGTAACAACTATTGAAGAAGAATCTCCCAAGGTACGTTTATACATTTTTGTTATTTCTTATAGATTTATTAAGTTGTTTACAGATTGCATTATTTTTACTGTTCATGGTGTATAATTTAAGTAATGATTGAGTTTTTGATTATGGTGATAAAAATAACAGATTTTGTTTGTTTACATAGAGACTCTTCATATTTTATCAGTTTAGTGCTGATAAAGTTTTCAAGTTAGGCTATAATTGTTTAATTTCTCTAAAGTCATACTACTCATATTTGAGCATAAATTTACATACAACGCTACCGTCATTATTAAATAGATCAGTTGACTGTACCATTTTAATTACCTAGATTTTAGAAATTTAAATCTGATTAAGTTGCTTTTGTTTATTAATGTACCAAAAGCGAAGGTTGTCACAAAAGATTATTATAGACAATATTTGATTTTATGGAAATATATTTTTTCTCGATTAAACTTATCAAATCTTAAAACTGTTTCAAACAGTATTTTACATTTAGCTTCACTTAAGTAAAGATATGAATAAGGTCCATTTATAAACTTATTTTAATGTTTTATTTTTATAATTGTATCAATTTGAAATAATATATTTTATTTTCCTTTTTTAGACATTTTGTGTTTTTTTTTCAAACTTTTTGGTTAATTGATCCTGATTATTTACAATTAAATTAAAACGATTTTCAGCGTTTTTTCTATGAATGTAATAGTGTTCTGCTTTTTTTCTTACTCCAAGAATGATGAAACTCTGGATGTATTTTCAATTTTTTTATAAAGATGTATTATAACTTGTAATTTTGTATATGAATCGTTTTATATGTCTTTCGAATAACATATTAATTTATATTATTACTTTTTACTCTTTTTTTCCGTGAGAAAAGTTTATTGGCACTGTAGACAAATGGGTTTGATGATTCATACCCGTTCAGTTTGACTGCTCGGCTGTCGGGCTCCTTTTTATCGCGTTCAAATATGTCTTCTCCTTTTTTTACTTTATTTTTTGCATGAGCTAGACAGTTGGGCCCTAAGATGTAATAAATTTTAATTAGGTCGTCTACTGCTATAATTTGTGCAATATTCCGACCTATTAATACAAAGTAGGATTATTTACAAATTATGAATATATAACGTTTAGTTTATTTGTAATGTACAAATTTAACATTAGCCTTATTTTACAAGTAAAATACGTTCGACTAAAATTGTGAAAATAACCTCTCCTGATAAGGATAGCCCCAATCCCCAAGCAGCTTTAAATTTTTTTTAGTTCTCGGATAATTGATATTTTTGGAAGAAATTTAAATTATATGTTATTAGTTAAAAAAATATTAAAATTCTATTTCACTTTGACTTTTTTTTTTTGTAAAGTGACTGTTACTGGTGGGGGAACTAGTCCAGCAAATGATCCTTTTTGCCAACCCCTGACGGTTATCTTGAGTTTGCCGCCGTGTACTTATCGGAATGGGAATGTCAACATTAATCCAGAGAAATGAAAACTAACCGACCCGGTTGGGAATCGAACCCACAACTTTCAGACAAATCGACATAACGTGCTCGGCTATCCTTCTATCTTTTGGTGAAGTTAACTGATTCTTTGTTCTTTTACTACGGTCGTTTCCCGTTTTCATATTTTGTTTATTATTATTTATACAAATATTTCAAGTCAGACATCCCGCTCTTAAAATATATATTACTTATTTATATCGTACATCATCATTTCATTGGTTTAAAATTTTAATTAATTTTCTTTTACGTAGTCATACGCATTTGGGTTCTTTCATCATACTTTTTCGTGTGTGTGAGTCATCTTTCGAAGGAAATTTATTATTATTATTGGACCAAATTTCCATTAGTTTTATCAAACAATTGATTTCAATAAGCAGTATTATTTTATGGTGTTTTAATTATAATTGTTTTCTTTTTTTTTTAATCCCTCTATCGCCATTTATATACCCGCGCGCGCATACATATTGATTTGATTATATTGCACCTTGTTATCAGAACAATGTATTGTAGATACATTTATTATTATTGAGGGAATGTGTCACGCATCTCTGCCCATGTTTTTAAATATTGCATAAGGGTTGCAATATTTAACAGGAACATTTGATTCTTTATAAAAGATATTTGAAGTATATCTTTTATTAAAAAATGCATTTACTTTTTCAATTGTTGTCGTTGTCTTTGATTCAATTTATGGTAACATATATGTTAGTTCACCTTCAGGTCCGGAATTAAATGAAATAGTTTTTGTTTCATTATTTTACTCGAACAATTTATTCCTATTATATCTATAGGTTAAGTATCCTTATGAATTATTTCTCTCTAACATATCTTCTTTGGTACGTTGAATGTTTTATTAAGACCATTGGTTGATCATTATGAAGAACTTACTATATCCACTAATACCGAAAAATTAACATGTTCTTAGAAAAGACCGGAAAAAAATATATTATAGAAAAAAATCGAATTAAATTGTCTGAAAAGAAATTAGGAAGGTAAATCAAAATCGGACTATTATTACCAGAGACCTGTTAGATTTATGTTGGCATTTCTTGTTTCGATTTATGATTTTCACTTATCAAACTTTGTGATCAACCAAAAAAAAAAAAATATTTGATCCTCCCCTTAAATTTATTCCATACCTTATTACTTTTATGATATATTATTAATATACCATATTATCAATATACCATACAAATTTTTCAATAGAATCAACTAATAGTAACATATTCAATTATAATTATATATTTAAGATATCACTAGGTCATTCCTGACCCAGAAAATCATACTTAAAGTGTGATTGAATTTTATTTGTGTCTTATTCGCTGTAACTATTTATATTTTATTATTTTGGATACAATTATCATAACACTATAGTAAAGAATATTACATTTTAAAACTGATGCGAATAATTTTAGCCGAAGAGTTGAGGTCGGCAGACGGTGCGTCGCAATTAATAAGACCAGAGGGGCGTAACGGATCGGTGCTGAGGGAAACACAAAAGGATTCCCAGGTGTTGGCATAATGGGGTGACCGATAATTTACCAAACCTTTTATTTCCTTTAAAATTAATCTTTTAACAATTTTGTTGGAAAGTTAATAATTTAGTTCATAAATAAACAGTACACAGAATTCAGCCTATTACATCTTCGGGATTTTATTTAATGTATTGAAGGTATAGGTAGGTATATAGACAACCAATGTGGATTTTAGCGGAACCGTTCAACTATTGATAAATTATTTTTCTTTCTATAAATATTAGATACAAAATTACAGTACAGTTCAACGGCATTGTTTATAAGCTTTGTATCGATGTAAAAAAAAAAAAAAAAAACATAATTCAATTGACAGTCAAAATAATGTCATAATATTCTTTTAATTTAGGATGGGATTCTGAAAGAGTTAGTTAATCCAGTAAGGATTTGCATGACGGAAACATGCAATAAAGTTTGAATTGGTAATTACTTTTCTGAAAAATATTGAGGTTCCTTCGGTTTTAAAACAGAGCGTTTGAAAGGTCTTCTGTCCTATTTAATTCAGCATTTAAACATGGCATTAGGAAGGTGACACGTACTAAAAAAGGTTAGCATATGGGTAAAAAAATATTGATATGAGAACGGGACTCAAAATTAATACAAATTGAATAAAATACAGGGTTGGCTGCAGAAACGACCACGATTTCAGCCCGATAGATTAAGAAAAGAAAACGTTTTTGTGCTGAAATTATAATTAAATAGAATTAATTATAATAATGAATTAAATAGACAAAATTTGCCAATCTCCAGATTAAAAACGACCCTATCCCGAAAATTTTTCGAAAATAAAATAGTTTAGGTAATAAAAGGTTACGATGGGATGAAGCTGTTTACCAAGTTACAGACGGATGTTAATAATTTGGTAACAAAGGATTTATACCTATAGACTATAAGTTGAAACACGTAGGGAAATTAATTATTTCGGATCAACTAAAACTAACCAATTGATAATGCGGAAAATAGTTTTTATTTTTCCGTTAGGAAATGCTTCGTTTCAAAAATTAAAATTTGTAATTTATAAAACTATTATACTTCCTACAGTTCTTAACAGATGCCAAAACTCTTACATTGATGGGAAAACAACGCCTTGAGTTTTTTATTTTTTATTTAAATGTTAGAACTAGTGGCGAACGAATGAGCAAAGAGCTATACGAATACTAGTTTGTGCTTTGCAGAGGGGTAATCATAAGCGAAAGCTGTTGTTGCACGGTTTGGTCTATACGGTGTACTTAGAGCTCTATACAATCCAGCGGGACACAAGTCAATGTAAATGAATTTTTTTTTTGTTAAATATTATTTTCGTTTAACTGTGTAAAAAACCGTTGATATTCAGTAAATATTTGTACATAATCAAAAGATAAATAGACAAACAAATTTTTGTTTGTTCCGATAGCCAATTAAAACATTAAAATTCTTCCTGAAAGGACATATGATAGGCTTAATATTAATAAGACGAACGTCTGTCATTTTCCAAAAATGGAGAAAAGATCAGTTTATGATTTATTGGTTCACATCAAACTGTTTCTGATAATTTTATTTAAGTATGTTCAAGTTTATTCATGAACAAAATAATTATATTTGGGGTTAAATTGAAGCCATGTTACAAAAATTGTCTTATTTTTTTCAACTTTTAAAAAATGACAGATACCAGTTTTTGGTGGTATGAGGCCACATATGTTATGTATTATGCTTATGATCACCAAACTAAGTAATCACTTAGTAAAACTATAATTCTATAAAGTATTATAATTACAAATATGTTAATGTGTTCAAGCCTCTTTCGTTGTCGATGCTGCTACATGAAATGTTGCTGTTATCTTGGATTTTACTTGTTCTCTTGAAAATGTAGTAGGATTCCAAAGGCGATATTTATGTTGTAAATATACGTAGAAAATATTTCAGAATTCCTGTTTCTTCTTTCTATTAATTACTTTTTGGTACTTTGAATAAATACAGCGGTAGTAGGTATTTGAAGTCAAAACTTCTT